TTCGGGTGGGGGTACCGCAGGTATATAAGAGACCGCCGAGGTCGCGGGAACTCATTCACCCTTTATACTGGGCCCTAGAGATTTCGCGGCATTTTATATATTTTGATTTTGAGTTGTGTATAGGGTGGTCGAGGGCTACTTAGCTAGCTTATGTCCACCGTATACACACACTCTACCTTCTGAAACTTTAGACACAATAGACTATTATTCACACTTATTGAAAATTATTTGAATATTTCACTTCAAATCTTTTTCCTTTTAAATACAATCATATTAAACTTCCATTATTAGAAGATTAGTACCGGGCTTTAAATATTACACTTTAAACTTTATTCTTTTAAATAAAATAAAACAATTTCGCGAATTACCGATACTTAAATGAAAATTATTATCGGACTTTGAATATTCCGCTTCGAGTGAAATGTTTCGAAATTATTTTGATGGTTTAGGGAAATAAACATTTGAATTTTAGCCATCGTTGTTCTTCATACTTGCCGAATAGGAATCTGAGATTTTGCTAATGAAAATTTGGACGTTTCAGCTGTCGAAATTAATGTGAAATTATTTCATTTTCTTTCAGTTTTGCTAATTTATCTTTATTTTTCCAATGTTTTGAAATATTTTCTGTGCTATTGAATTGATTTTGAATTTGTTTTATGAATTGTTATTTTCTAAACTGTGATTACCTTCACAGGTATCCAAGGAATTGCATGAATTACATGTTAAGTAGTTAGTTATTTTATTATTGTGTTTTATTTTGTGAGCTGATTTGCTACGAGTGCACTACACTCGTGCACCATGCCCACCCTTAATTAAACCGATTTACTAGTTTACCGAAATTATAGGAATAAAGCTCATGTTAATAACTGTTACCGTACTTCTGTAATAAATTAGCAAAAAAGGCCTAAAAATAACGGCCGTCACACTTGAAGACCCCCTTAAAGAACTTCGCCCGTCTGTGACGCGACAGTGGCGAACAGAACCGTGGAAAATATTCACGAGGCACACATGCATGCACACATACGGTCTAGACACTGTGACGTTCATTTTCCCTGAAAAAAATCTTGACCAATGGACGCAGTTAAATATTTTCTGGACATACCGTTAGCACGCCGGAAACGGGATTTCACGGTTGTTTGCGATCGGAACGGCGATGTCGGAAGTCCGGCTCGTCGGGCGAAATTCAAAACAAATTCGGAACGCCGTAAATAATAGGCTGTCACGGACAGCGCGGGGGAAAAACAAAAATCTCCAAGACTTGGATACTTGCTGCCGCCCCGTGTCGAGTTTTCCTCCTCTTTTTCTCGTAACCGCCGATTCTCAATTTGGACAATGCGCCTCGCCTCGATTCTCACCTAGATAAATTCACGCTCGCGCGAGTCGCATCCGTGGATTTCGGGCAAAATGTTCCTCTCTGCGGGAAGAGGGCCGGTTACTTTTCCCGCGGAAACAGATGATTTGGAAAATATTAGGTTGCCGCAAATGAAACGACCGAGGTGTTGATACAAATTTCAACTGGCGCGGTTTTAGTAAAAATATAATTTTTATGCTTTTCGTTTTATTTTTAGAAAAGGAAACCACTAAACAGTCATTTATTTTTGGAGGAAACGAATTTTTGTCCAAATAAGAAGTGATCGGTGGAATTTGATTTTGATCTATTGTTAGTTTTCGTGTGCAATCTAACATTTGACGAATTTGGGCCAGCTTCGAGTTTTACATTGACGTTACTTACAATAAGTTGATACTATCCTAATCTAACCTAATACTGTTCTTCTTCTTCCAATATTTCAGTTTTTCTTTAAATTTTTTTTATACTTAGTGTACTTATTTTGTCATTTGCATGTTGCTGTATCACTATAACACACTTCATCTAATATCATTCTAAGTTCTTCATAGGTGACAGTGAATATGTTTCTAATTTTAATAATAAAATTGAACAATAGTGAATGAATGTTTTTAAATAATATTCGAAAGTTCTGCATTTACTATATTTATTCTTAGAATGTTCACTCAAGAGATAGAAATGCTTCAGAAATGGTTTAATTCATTTTTTTAGGTGTACAAATTAATTCGGCCTCTTTCTTCACAAAATCCTGACGAATTTAGCAACTCAAAACATCTATGCTTTTTCAGTTCTCCGATATAAAAAGTTCGTCTAAAATAATGGAGATTATTTTGAATATTAAAATTGTGCTTGATTTCTAATAGTACGTGATATTAATGTATTACTATAATAGAAAATATCACAAATTAAAATAATCTTCGTTGCTTCGAAAACAATGAATTTTCAAGTTACTACATTACGTTCGTTCTTTTTCACGCTGCTTTCACAAACAATTATTCGAAATAATGATTTACAAATGAACATATCCAGAAGGAATTCATTTAAACTGCTCAATTACTTCTCTAATATCGAATATGTTAATTAGAGAAAAGTATCGCAGCATTATTCCACTGCAGGCTTGTGGAACGTTTAAAAGCCTTTTTCATAAGGTCCAGTTTAAATGAAATTTTTTTACCGCTCATTCCGTGAAATTTTACCTCGTGCTTTGGCAATGTTGTGTCATAATATTACATTTCAAGCCTTTGTAAGATACAAGCACGTTAATATTGCATTAAAAATAAGGAAGACACACGTATCTATCAATAATTCCTCAAATATTTCTTGGAAAACAAATACAAGTTGCACAATAGAGACAAATTCTCCACAAGGTGCTTGCTCCATCGTAAAAATTGAATTAAATCGAATAATTTCATTCTTATTCATAATTTATTTATTCCATAATTTCTTTCAACGACAAGTCTAAATAAAAGACACTAATAAAATTCTTTACAGAACACACCAAAATCGATCCTTCCAATTATTCTCCGCAATATTTTTCAATAGCATATTCCTCCATTTGCATAAAAAGTTCGTTCAAAACACTTCCTTAATTTATCCCTCTCGAGAAAAATTCGACATTCAGACTAAAACAGAACATTGTCGCGGTTACAAAGCGTCCATTTTGAAAAAAAAACATAACACTATTATTACGTTAAAACTGAAACATTTCTAATTTAAAATAATTTCCGCAACGTGCGGTGCACTTTAAAATCCGAACCTCTAAGATGAATCTCCCCGATCCAAACTTACATTTCCACTCCATTTACATTTACAGACCAACTCTTTACACCCTTCCCCAAAAAGTCATTCTCGTAATTTCCTATTCTACCTCGGAATTACACAATGTCGCTCACAAAACAAATCAACCAACCTCCGTACAACTTCTTCGAGGATCAAAAAACTTCCCTTCAAATTTCCCGCCAAAAGTCCCTCTAAAAATCAAGATCCCTCGATTTCGTCAAATTCGTCCTTTCCCGGCCAGAGAACGAAGGAAAATCGATCTTCCCAAAATGTCGGTAACAAAAACAAATCAACCAACCTCCGTACAACTTCTTCGCGGATCAAAAAACTTCCCTTCAAATTTCCCGCCAAAAGTCCCTCTAAAAATCAAAATCCCTCGATTTCGTCAAATTCGTCCTTTCCCGGCCAGAGAACGAAGGAAAATCGATCTTCCCAAAATCCAATCGCAAAAACCAACGCGGTTACATCCAAAAAGAACTTACCATTCGACACGGAAGTGGAAGACGAGGGGGCAGGAGGAGAGCAGAGGAAGAGAGAGGGGAGGGAAGAGTCGAGGCTCGATGCTTTTTCGCGACGAGCGGGAAACGAGATTTCGCGGTCGCTCGGCGTCGAGATGGCTATGCCAGAAGCGTCGAGCGTCCGTCAAAATTCAGAATATTC